ACCTTTCCTGATTATTGGTCAATAAAGTGGGCCATTTATTGATGGTCATTTTCTTGACCGTCATCGAGTTTATACTTGTAGTATTGTCTGAGAGAAACAGCGCCACAGCCCCACAAACAACACCAAAAGAACTTGAACCAACAAGGAAAAAAACAGTTAGAACCATTATTTTGCATTAAAATCAGTGTCGTGCCCGAAGGGCTCGGCACAACAATTACATTAGACACTTTGGATGTCGAGGTCTACTAGAGCATCCATTCGACTCTAATGTACTTTCTGCCCTTACAGGCACGACATTAATAGGAGAACAACAAACTAGCAAAGAAGCGCCACCATGAGCAACTTTCAAATTGGCGTCTCAAATAATGACGCCACTGCCAAATAGCATGGAACAGTCTACAGCACGATCGATTTTCCATTAATACCTGGGATTTTAATAAGAAAAAGCCACACATTGTTCAACCGACTTGGGAAAGCACAACTGCCGAAGAAGCGAATAAATATCCGGATAAAGATCTGGTGTCGAAACTGTACCTGACGATCAACGAAGGGTTGACAGGATCATCCGATAGGAATCAAGGGTCATTTTTTGCCTTGTCAGTTCGCTTTGGGTACTGACATTTATTCGCCCAGGCGGGTTTAATGGAAATGTCGCCCAATTGAAAGGCACTGTTTGTCTCCCTCCCGAAAAGCGCATTTAATAATGTATATATTTATTTGTTATTCCAACGATGTCACTGGCTCGTTAAAAACTCCATAAACCCGCTAAAAAAATGCATTTCCATCGTGTATTTATTTTTAAACACTTAACAGGAAGTTGCTGTTATATATTTAACCCTTGAATTCGATGGCATATTAATAAATCAACCAGGCTGTCGCTTCGAGAGTCAACGAAAATAAATTGCCAAACAACGATAAAAATGCTACTTTTTATGTCTCGAAAATGTCCGTAATTCGCCCGCATTTTAATGAATTTCGATTGGGCCACAAAACGCAAATATTCCCACACTCTAAATCTCGCTGAGTTTCTTCATCGCAAAAGGGCCTCAAACAGTCTCCGATTCCAACAACATTAAAATAACTCAAAAACCTGAGCAGATACGAGAAAAACTTTTGTGAAAAAAACTTGTGAATGGTAAAATGTGACCTGACCCCAACAAAAAATTCACCCTGTTTATTTTGTAAGTGTACCAAATTTGTACTAAAAATCTTGAAAACTGCATAAGTACGAACTAAACAAAAACAGCACGAAATCTCCAATTTCCACACTCAGTTTCTCGAAAATGTTGCCTCTTTTGGCACGTGTTTATCATGAAAAAAATGCGTCTCTTGATGTCCCTTAGCACTCCTAACAGTTTATAGTCATTTTTGTGAAACACTCTCGATTTTCCAAAAATGCCTCGAAGAATTTTCATTTTTGACATCGTAAAGTTCACTTAATACAAATGGCAAATTAATATGTTTCCAGCCTCAGTGGGGAACGAAATTGAATCTCGTGAGATGAAAACGCGCCGCCGAGCAATGTTTCCTTAATTTTTCCGGAAAATGCCGATTCCTAATGAAATAAAGCGTCTCGCGTGCAAAATCGGATTATGCTAACACTGATCTCGTTATCTCGCAGTTTTATCAGCTCTTCCAGTTCTATATTGTGCCCTTTGTCAATTTGGCTTTGTTGTTTTTCCATCAAAGGCGAAAATAACGGCTAATTTGCAGGCGAGGAGGTGCTGAAGCTGAAGCTGAAGAAAACTGGGATTAGATGAAAACCCTGTTCAATCGATTAAAATAACACACTTTTCTTCTAGAGCCCAAATCCAGTCAAATGATCAAAGTGAAGCACAATTCTGTCTTAAGCAGTCGCTAGCAGCAGGCCGAGTTGTTTGCTAATTAAGATACTGTCAACCGACGAAAAACTCAAATTAATTTCAGAAAACTCATCCAATCGATGAATGCCAGGAATGCAACAAGCCATTAGATTCTTGTTGCTGTTTTATATATGGAAACTTTTTGCGATTGTTCCAACTTAATTCCGCAGGAAAACTTTTAATTGGTACGAAGACAAATTAGCAGAGCCCGAAGGACTGAGTTTCGGCCGCATCTACATAGTTCCGAAAGTATTAAGCTAATGCCACTTCATTAAAACATTGCGAGAGTCAGAAGGCGATTTTTCCTAATTATTTTGTCATCAGGACAAAGGGGATTTAATTCAACAAACGTGAAATGAACGGGCGCCTAATTGGCTTGATTAGCTTTAATTCAATTAGCCAATTGAAAAGTAATTACTTCATTGTCGGTTCCTGCCCCAAAACCCAATTGAAAGATGATGATTCAATATTGAATAAGCGACTGTACAATTCATTTAAGCTGCACGTTGTTAATCGCCGAAGTTAAGCGTAAATAATGATCGTTATCTTCATTCTATCGAAGAATTTATGGGAAGCAACGCTTTCTGACCAGTCAAATGTATATGCTGCTCCAGGCTATGTGGCAGTGACGTCATTATATCAATCAAAAATATAGACTATACATGTTTTTTGCTTATTGGAACAACAGCCAAATTTGGCCAATAAAAAAGTGGAATATTTGCCACTCTAACGGGAAATATCAACACTTTTCAATAACAGCCTATTGGGTCTGGCAGCTTTCAAGCGTGCCTCCTGAACGAAAAAAATCGACAGTGTTGCTTAGAACGTGCGGCGATTATTAATAATTGGAAATTTCGCCATTTATGGCAGGCAAACGGTGCATCAAAATCAATTAAACTCTCTAAACAGTATTGGATTTTAAACAGCATTTACAACTACAAATTATTGGCCTATCTGCTACGGTGCTCCCCCATCAGGTGATTTTTTCGGATTTAATGCGAGCCATGCATGCAAAACGCCTCGAATTTTACTGTAATTACTGATATTATCGTCCGACCTGGCGAAGTGGAGTTTAAGACTTGTAATTGAGGATATTACCCATAATTTACGTTCAGCAGCAGCAGAGTCGGACTTGAAGGGAACCGT